TTCCTATCATATTGGGTTTTTGATCGATTAAGAAACCGCAGAATCCACGACCATGTTCCCTAATGTAACATAGCTAGGTTTGTGAGGTTCGTAAAATTTGAAAACGAAAGCAATGAAAGAGTGACTCCTAGGGAGGAGAAACAGCATCAATATCTGTCAATCCACTGTATTTGGATTGAAATAGCACGTTTTTAAGAGTACGAAAAATGCTATCTATTATTAGGTTACACTAGGGCCATCCATGAATCTAAAGATAGATAGATAGATAGATAGATAGATAAGTAAGTAAGTAAGTAAGTAAATGAATGAATGAATGAATCAATGAATGAATGAATGAATGAATGAATGAATGAATGAATGAATGAATTGATGAATGAATGAATGAATAAATGCAGATGATCACAATTCTATGAATATAAGTCAAACTTTATTATTGAAATTTCAACGCAAATTTACAAATCATCTAGTTCTATCAGTCTTCTGTATAGTATATTGAATTCAGCATGCATTAATACAACGGGTTGTCATGGCAACCAAACACATGGCCTATGTACCAAGACCACTGCATTATGGGTATTACAGGTTTATCGGTGTAAATAAAATAAGGTAGTAATCATATCATGACCTTAACCTGACAAAAAAAGATCTGCGTAATAGGTAAATTACGAGCCTTGTTATAGGTAAATTTCCAAGCCCATCCCACACGGCTTACCGCCTCAGTCTTTGACGAAAGAAGGACAAACTTCGAAAGTTAATAGAGCGTTTTCACGTGACGTCACAGCGGCCATGCTGGTGTACCAAAACAATACATTTTCTATCCTATAGGGGAATTGAACTCTATTTTTATGCAAAAACTGTGCAGAAAGTTTCAATTGTTTGTTACATTCATATCCACTTGTCACGTGAGTGAAAACTCTCTGTTGATTAGTATACGTAGTTGTGATATTTGATTGTCTGATGTTGTGGCACAACAGCCAAGGGAAATAAGATAACACCATAAGATACAACTTATTGATCAATAGTGTTATGAGTATAATGATGGTTATATATAGACATTAATAATATACAATTAGATACAACTTATTGATCAATAGTGTTATGAGTATAATAATGGTTATATATAGACATTAATAATAGACAATTAGAAACAACTTATTGATCAATAGTGTTACGAGTATAATGATGGTTATATATAGACATTAATAATATACAATTCTACTTTAAACGAAAGACACCAGAATTATTCGTACTAACTAATAACTGACCATCCTTTAAAACAGTTATATATGCAGGTTCCTCGTCGCACCTTGAATTATAACCTGCAGTTGAAATCCTTCCTACAAAACGACCATCCAATGTAAATTTTTGTACGCGTTTATTATGTTTATCACACACCAGTAGATAATGGTCATTATCAATAGCCAGGCCCAGTGGTCCATTCAGCTGACCATCAGCTCTGCCTTGACCACCAATCGTCGATATTCTAGTCGGTACGTTACCTTTCTTCTCAAATACCTGAATAACGTGATGTTTACCATCACTGACGTAAAATAGTCCATCATGTGTTATCACATCATATGGAGCGAACTTGTCCTGTGTTGTGAAACCAAACTGATATTGATAGTCACCGTCTCTTGTGAAGACTTGAACACGATGATTTTTAGTATCACACACAATGATGTTACCATCGTCATCGACGTGTACTCCCAATGGACGATAAAACTGTCCATCCCCGTCACCTTGGTTACCAAAGGTTTTTACCAATGTCCCTGTTGTAGTGTTCACTATACATATTCTATGATTATCCCTGTCTGCTATGACTAAATCTGTATCATTCAGAAATGATAAACCCATAGGATTAGACAACTGTACCTGTGGACTAGCATACGTCAGTAAGAGATCTCCATCAGTGGTGAATACATGGACACAATGAGAATAATAATTGGCAACAGCGATCCTGCTGTTGTCTTTGTTTACTGCTATACCTGTCAACCCACTAGATCCTATATCTACACCTTTCGTCTTAAACTGTCCTATTGTTCTCATCCCTTGTGACATGACATACATCACTAGAGGACTGTTAGATACAGGATCCCCATTCACTTGAACCTCTGCTATCAACTGACCAGCTATCTTAGCCGTGAACTCAACTTCTACTTTACCATCAGTTCTCACATATTTCTTTTCTATTTTCACATTTTCTTTAGGCTTGATTTGAACGTCTATAACATCCCTTGGATCATGATTGAGTTTTCCTTTAGACGTTCTAGTTTTCACTACCAGATTCTTTTTCGTTGAAGCTATCGCAGTCTCAGTTTCCACCTCAATAGTGCTCATCTTATGATCCGTTTTGTAACGGGTTCGTATTTCTCCCAGCCCTGAATTCACTTCTTGAACCAGCTGTTGGTTAGGAATAAACTTAATCTTAGCTGACAGTGGAAGATAGTTGAAGATGAATTTCTGAGAGCATTGTGTCTCTTGAATGTTCAACATTTCACTTGCCAGTCCTCTTTCCATCACCTTCCTGATGTATTCCGTGACGGCTGGAATATGATGAATTGTATTCAAGTTTGTTGTGGCTGTATCCAGCTTCTCGTCGATTTGTCTCAGCAATTCTCTTTCGCTTTCTTGTAGCTTTTCTATGATCTTCTTGGTTTTGTCTTTGATTTCTTTTTTGGCCTTTTCTCCTTGTTGTTTGATTGTGTTAGCAATCTTTTCTTGTTGCTGCTTTTCCTTGTCATCTAATCTCAACTGCTCTAATACCTGCAGCTGCTTTGATAATACAGCTTTCTTGATCGAAGCAAACTTATCTAATGACAATGTTTTGTGATCCTTGTGATCGTGTTTCCAGCATGTCAAGCAAATCATGTCATCACAGTCTTCGCAGAACAACTCTAGCCTGTGATGAGGGTGGCTTTGACAAGGATTTTCTCTTGTTATTATGAACTCAATATCTTCTTTCTTCAAATAAGCCAGACGAACGACCTTGTGATCTTCGGTAAACTCTGAATGATATTTCTTGCATTCCTCACACATTGAGCGATCACAATCAAAACAATACCAAGATGCTGTCGAATGACTCTCCGAAACAGAACAAACCTTTTTTCCTTCTGCTAACGCCAGACCCTTCAAGATTCTTGATAGGTGTAAGCTTGGCTGTAGATCTTCCACGCTGCTTGGTTCTGGTAGAGAAGTTTGTGATTTGCATAGAGGACACTTGAAGACGTTGACTTCGTCGATCAGCTCTGCGTGTCTTTTGAGGCAGGGTTTACAAAATGTGTCAAAACATGGTAAGATCTTCGGTTCTATGAGTGTATCATTACACAAAGAACATTGGACTTCCTTCTTAAGATCGTCCACGAACGATTCCATGTTGGCGAGATTTGAGGGAGTTGGCTGAACAATGTTGTTTATCAGACGATTCTTGGAAATTCGCGTGACACTTGAATTCCTAGAAATGATATCACGCTATAAATGCATAAATTAATTAGCTTAAGCGCAGTGTCTAGATACCCGGCAACCGGGAACCAATTTCAAACGATACTAGATACCCGGAAGCTTTTGATTTTTGAAAAAAAAATTGTCAAATAAACACCTCTTTTCCCATTGAATATATTCTTACTTTATTTAGAATAGTCAAGCACTTCTGCATAGAATACGAAGGTCAATTCGAAGACACTCAGAAAAATTTCGATCAAACATGCTAGCTCCCGGGAACCAATTTCAAAAAATACTAGATAGTTAAAAGAAGTGCTTGACTATTCTAAATAAAGTAAGAATACTGACAATGGGCAAAGATGTGTTTATTTGCCAATTTTTTTTCAAAAATCAAAAGCTTCCGGGTATCTAGTATTTTGAAATTGGTTTTCGGTTGCCGGGTATCTAGACGCTGCGTAAGTTAAGATATAAGGCTACTACGCTCTTGTTTAGATGTGGTGAGAAATTGTGAAAATTGTGAAATTTAAATTTGTCGTGTAACATAAGACACGATAGAAATGTCTTTTTCGTTTGTAATATAGTTTACATATTTGTCTTTAGTGTATTATATTTTTTGTGCTTTACTCAAAGGTAATTAGATGTAGGTGTCCTCGTGGATATTAATGACATAATGATCATATGTAATGAACGACGTCAGTCTGAATGATTGGTTTGCCTTAGGGACTGGTCATTATTTATCGAGGGGGGGGGGAGGGGGCTGGTGCAATATTAAATATGCTATGCTTGATTTTTGCTGACCCCCCTTCTCCTTAAGCATGATTTTTGCTGATTTTTGCTGATTTTTGCTTAAACCCTTGCATAAAAAATACTGACCCACCCCCTATTTGCACCCCCCCCCCCCTCTCGATGAATAATGACCAGTCCCTTAGTTCCTTTGAATAAAACATTTATCTAAAGCGCGACAGCGATCTTTATCGGTACTCTCTCCTATACAGTGTTCATTGCTCCATATATCACAGGATTGATGACAGAGCTGCCCAGTGCTGCAAATGATATTACCATATTAGCCTGGCAGGTACAACACCATTAAATGTTTTAAAACATATGCATCTCCTCAGCTACTTGGACATCATGAAAGCTGGAACCCAAGTCAGTAAATATCCAATCAAAACTGCGAATTTGATCCACGTGACCTTGATTTCTTGGACAGTCGTTCCCAGGCTGATTGGTTTGGTGGCAGGCCGAGCGATATTTTTCTCTTGTGCTTTTGGATGTTCTTGAAGAGTTACAAGTAGCAGTAGACTACAATGCGGAGACGGGGGTGAGAAGGATAATACTTGCCAGATTGAAGAGCATTCATTGATTCCCGGAAAGTAGAACTAGTTTTTTGAATGAAAATTTCACTGAGCTACTTCCAAACACTTTAACGACAAAGGCCACCTCGTAAGTTCCTTCCTCTCTTAGGGGTGAAAAACGAGAAGTTTTTGGTCTTTAGCACGTGCGGTATCTTCTAGGGGTACGCGACAGTTAAATTGATGGTTTTCAAGTCGGCCATGCTGGAGGAATTTAACAAAAGAATTGTCAATGAATTCTTTTGTTATATCCTCCAACATGGCTGCCGTGTCTTTTGTTATTTAATTCTCTTGGGAATGGTTAAAAACCATCCATACTTTCAGAGTATGTTGCAATAAACTCAATGATTTCTTATTTAAATGATTTATCTGGTGTTTCGAAATGGTATCGCTTAGGGTAAGAGAAAATGAACTTGGTTTAGGGGGTTTAAACTAAAACATTGCAACGCCCAAACTCTCTCTTTTAGGGAGGAAATGTATTTTTTTCGACGTTCATCCCCGTTCTTTTACATGGGAGTACCGTCCCCCCCCCTCCCCCTCGGGCAATAGTTCATGCCAACCAGCAACCGGCAACTCGCACACCTTTTGTCCCAACAGAAAACAACTTTTAATTGACGAAGCCAGAATAAGGCTCAAATTTGTAGAAGGGAACGGAACCTCTGTCATCGCTAGCAAAAGACTCGGATAACGATAGATGGACGGGAGATTATTGCAGAAGATTTCCTTCAATGGCAATCAGTCAAATAAGCGCGAGTAAAATACTTGTCTCGATCTACAGCGATGGTAACAGTGCTATGACAGTGAACTCGTTAACTATCAAATTGCTCACAGTCGGTATCTATTTCATTAAAAACTGCTATAATTTTACCGACTTTACCTGATTTGAACATGAAGTTAAACCGGAGAAAGATCAATAAGAGAGACAGGTGAAACTGAAACTGTAAGACTTCGAGAAACGCCGGAGGAAGGTGAAAAGCTCCAGCATTTATTTTTATCTGCGTAAGCAAAGTGTTTTTGAGGAAATGGATTTGAAAGTTTGAATAGAGCTATCTTAAATTGTCTGACATGTTTACACTTTCTATTCAATGCTGAGGATGTCTTAAGTTAAAAGCCCTTCAGATTCATCACGAGAGTCTTATTAACTTATGGACTTCATGCATAAGAGCGTTTTTGTATTAATAGACTGAAATCAGTCAGCTGTACAATGTGATGGACGACTAAGTATCTTTTCTATTAATTGGTACTGTGGAACTCTTAGTTAATCAATCTATATTAGGAACTAATACATAACTTTAATTTTAAAAAGGGTTGTACAACACTAGCACAAAGATTTTCCTTTGTAGTTTTTCTTCGCTATGCGGTTTTTCAAGGTTTAATTTGTCAAATTTTCCACTTTCTTGATCTTTCGAGGCATTTGAAATATACACGTCTAAGAAAGCTTTCACAGCAATATATCATATAAGAAAAGTTTGTTTAAATGAATCGCTAGACTATTAAATCTTTTGCATTGTTGAAACCGGCATTAGAGTTTTCTCGATTTTGCTTGATGGATGACGAAAATGCTATTTAAAAAAGTCTTTTGCTTGAGGTTAGACCATAAAATCAACAAGAATTTGGACACAGCTGCAATCTCGGCTTAAATACAGGCGTATGTTACTTTGCCTCGCCAGTAGTTTAACCGGGTTCTCAGTGATCCTCCCTCTGCAATACCTGCTACGCTAAATTCCAACTTTGATTTGTGAATTAGCCTAGCGTTATTTCTATCGATCGGAAACCGTGTTCACAGACGCATGTATTAACCGCCAAATATATATTTTTTATGCGCCAAAATATCTTTTTATGATGAAACAAGTGCTAAACAGTTCGATCGACATTTACTATCGCAGTCCAGCTACCATCGCTGTAGAGACAAGTATTTTAATCCTTATTGGACTGATTGCCATTGGAGGAAATCTTCTGGTAGTAATCTCCATCTATCGTAATCCCAGTCTTCGTACCATCACTAACTACTTCGTACTCTCGCTCGCGATGACTGACATTTTGTACCCGATGTTGGCGTTGCCTTTTACTGTATTTTGGTCAATCAACAATAGTGTCATTGTTTACCAGGGAATGTGTGATTTCCAAGCAATATTTGGAATTGGTGTGTCAAGAGTTTCAATCTTTACTATAACTCTCATGGCCGTCAATCGTTTTTTTCGTGTTTGTAAACCGTTAAGATACAGGCAGATTTTTAGCAAAAGAAAGTCATGTTACATGATAGGTGTTTCTTGGGTACTGTCTTTTATCATAACGATATTGCTCGTTAAGGGGAACACACTGTTAGTTGCCAAATACAATCCATTTAACATACGCTGCATTATTTCATCAGCGAGATCTGAAAATGGCTTGGTAATTAAGAACATTACCATGTTAACCACCATGGGAATCCCATTCATCATCATCGCCTTTTGCTACTTTAAAATATTCAGGAATATAAAGCTACACAAGAGAAACGTAGTTCCTAACAGTAATGGCTTTGGTAGAAGAGTGATTGAAATAAAGGTCACATGGACTTTGTTTGGAATTTTGGTGGGCTATCTTGTGACTTGGATTCCTCTATTAGTCATAACGCTAATGTCCAAAGATGATCTTCACAAACTACCCCGACAAGCATATTTGGTTACGACGTATTCTATTGCAAGCAATAGTGCCATTAATCCAATAATATATGGATTAATGAACAGGGTATTTAGATACGAGTACCAGAGAATTGTTAAATGTCAGCATAACAACTAAAGCTGTATGGATTTCACTTTAAACCCGCCTCGTTTGTAAACAGGAGTATAAACCAATTTAGTCTTTTTTTACTGAGAAATCGTTCCTTTTTCAGTTCATAAAAACAATATTTTGCTTTATACTAGTCCATCTCTTTTTTAAACAAATTCTGACTATTCTTTTAAAAAATTCTCTTGATCAACTAAAGAACACCTCGGAAAAATACGACAAAAACGACAGAAAGAAGAAGAAGAACAAGAAAAAGAGCAATAACAACAACAACTACAAGAACAACAGCAACAACAACAACAGCAACAACAACAGCAGCAACAACAGCAGCAACAACAGCAGCAACAACAGCAGCAACAGCAACAACAGCAGCAACAACAGCAGCAACAACAGCAGCAACAACAGCAACAGCAACAACAACAGCAACAACAACAGCAGCAGCAACAACAACAGCAGCAACAACAACAACAGCAACAACAACAGCAACAACAACAGCAACAACAACAACAGTAGCANAACAACGGGAAGAAAAAGAAGACTGAGTAAGAAAAAAAAAAAAAAAGAAGAAAAAGCATTTCCCTCCCTTTTTCCAAAATATGTATTTTAAAGCTGCACATGGAAACTAAGGCTTTAGCTTAGAGCTGATGTAGTCCTTTTTGTAAGACACTCAGACAGGTTGTTTCAGGGTTCTATCTGTGAGTTATCCATGTCCTGACTTAGATCAGCCCTGAAGTTGTTTCAGGATTTGATCTGTGAGTTAGCCATGCCCTGACTTAGATCAGCTCAGAGGTTGTTTCAGGGTTCGATCTGTAAGTTAGCCGTGCCCTGACTTAGATCAGCCCAGAAGTTGTTTCAGGGTTTGATCTGTGAGTTAGCCGTGTCCTGACTTA